TAAAAAGGTAGTGGCCTCGAGATCTTTTGTAAATACGTCATTGGAGTCCTGGCAATGGCCAGCTTCTCCACTCAAGTCATGAGCGTATGTGGCTTTAGCGCCCTTTCTCAGTCTCCACTGGATTCCCAACTCAGTGATGCGGCTGAGAGAGAAGCCCTGGGATATCTTAGAGTCTTGCCTTATCTTCCACACGTGGGGCCGACTTGGAGTTCCCTCGGCTGACTGTAAATATTATAAATAAGCATGAATGTTTTATTTATTTATTTTTCTCATTTATTTTTGTTTTGTTTTTATTTGTGTTATTTCATATTTTTTTTTCATATGTTTTACTAAGGTTTCTTTTTCTTATTTTTGTTATAATTTATATGTATTTCTGTAATTGTATATATTGTACGAATGAGTTTCTTGTATCTCAAATACTTAATGCCCTTGATTGAGGCAAAATGTATTTTTTCTCAATAAAAAAAAGTTGTATGCTGGTCTATTTCAGCCCGTTGGTCATTCATTACCTCTTTAAAAGAGTAATGAAAACAACATTAAAACCCGGATTAAAAGATCTTTGACGTGTCATTTCGGCACAGTGGCCATGACATCAAATCTAGTCATCACGTCTTCAACGATGAAGCAGCATCATTGACCAACCCAGTCAAATATAGCAGACGCCTCCTGAATCTCAAGTGTATGTTGATGATTCAATTAGCATTTCACAGGCTTGCACGGAATCGTAGAGTCACTATTCCGACTACCACGGGAAATCTATCAATCTGATAATGATTCGACATATTGATTAACAAAATGAATCAGTTAAATTAATTGCTCAAAACATCCAATGAAAATCATTTAAACTGTTAGCACACTCCTCTTGTAAAGTCATGACGTCTTCAATAATCAGTGCTGCATTTTTAATCCAGCCTTATTTCTTCCTACCTCTTTGGGCAATCGATCGTCCAGGCTCGATACAAAATATCGATTGAGTTTTTTGAGAGTGATAGAAAATGGCAGTTGAGTCGCTAACGTAAAAAATGTGCAATTTTCACTAGCGGTTAAAACATTGTCTGGGCCCTCGCTGTATTGTGTTATTTGTGCTGGAGTTGCAAATCTATTAAATATTTGTTAATTTGGCAAGCATAAGTTTATTTTTGTATTTTTCCTTTATAAATCTTTACCTTTTTTTTCTCTCTTAGTTCTGTAATTAATTTTTTTTACAGCTGAATTTTCTCATTTATGTATAACGTTACTTTTCTTTTGTATGTTTGTTAAACTTTATTACTCATAGCTTATGTGTTATTTTCCAAAAAATTAAATTGTATACATTAATTCTTTATGGTGTAATTATTGAGCGAACCTACCAGAATCCCTTAAAACATGTTTGGAGACCACTGTGTGTATTAACAGTCTATCTCAAAAACGAAAAGTCGTACGAAAGTGAAATTGCATATTTAATGTTTTTATTTGCTTGGGATGTTACAACAACTTTTTCTTCAAAATTGGATAACAGGAAGTGGCACTTTATATCATGGGCTAAACACATTTTTACGGCTCTTACAATTTTGATTAAATTCATAATATCAGTGTTAAATTAAGCAGTTTTAAATAAAATGTAGGATTTATTCTGATTTATGTTCTCTAGCAGGGTTTAAATGGCTAAATTTTCAATATTAGCTTCCCCTAAAGTACCTTTAATTTTTTTTTATTTGAAACAGTTGACCATTTCACATTAATCTGTGATACAAAAGATAGTTAAATATAAAATATGAAAGGATTTGATAATTAACTAAAGGATAAATGAGAGATGTAAACATTAACCCTTTTTTTCTTCTTTATTCTGTAATTAATTTTTATGCAGCTGCAATTCTCATTTTTTTATAACGTTACTTTTATTTTGTATACTTGTGAAACTTTTGTTACTCACAGCTTTTGTATTTTTTCTATAAAAATTAAAGAGATAGCCCAGTGAATTCTATGGTCCTGAGCTTTGCCTCAGCTTACGGTGGTTGTAGTCCATGGTACAGACCACTTTTTATCGAATTATTAATATCCGGCTGAAACCTCGTAAATAGTTGCATCTCATCTTAACCTACAACTATTTCATTTACGAAAAGTCTTTAAATTGAGGCGATTTCAATCTGGAGGGGGCAAACTTTGTCTATTTAATTAGGTACTAGAAATTCGTAAATACCCATTTGCTTTCTACTTGGATCGCAAGATAATTTGATCACAGAAACGGTAAGAAAAGTGTGGCCTTCAAAAATATTGAGCGGTTTGGCGTGACCTACATCCACAAATTTTCAAAATAACGACGTCATATAGGACAAACGGCCCAATATTTTTATAGGTCACCTTTTTTATCGATTTTGTGATCAAATTATCTTACGATCCAAGTAAAAAGGAAATAGATATTTACGAGTACTTAATTAAATAGACAAAGTTTGTACCCCTCCAGATCGCAAACGTTCTAATTCCAAGAATTTTCGTAAATAAAATAGTTGTAGGTTACGATGGGATGAAACTATTTACGAAATTTCAGGGGGATGTTAATAATTTGATAAAAATGGGTCTCTACCACGGACTGTTATATCTTATCAAAGTTTATCACCAAGCCTTCTACCTGGAAGAGAAAGGAATTTGTAACACTTAAAGGTACTATTTCGCAGTTACTGTTTACCGTAGCGTATGGCAGCGTCTAGCATTTGTTACTGCCAACCGTTTCCGTTGGTTTATTTTTCTATAATTGCTCACGATACGCGCAGACTTTCCTAATTTGGGGGAAGGGGAGGAAGATGGGCCCAAAAAAAGTCAAGGGAGTTTATATTATGTATATAAATTATGAGTAATGATTAACATAATCAACATAATTATGTTAAAACGAACAATATAATACCATTTATAAAAATAAAGAAATACGCACACACACACATATATATATATACTTCATAATATAATATATATATTGTATTTTACATGGGTTTATATTTTAAAATTTCAATTATAGACCTAACAGCGCCAGAACTATTGTAGCGACTTATGCAGACGATACAGCTATTCTAACTAAAGATCTAATAAAAACCCAACACACGCCTCACAGACTTTACATCATTAAAACAAACTAAACTCTGGAAAATTCGACTCAACAAAGACAAATCATCACAACATATCACTTTCACTCTTCGACCCGGAACATGCCCTCCTATTTACCTTGACAATGCCAAAATTCCTCAAACATACAAAATACAATATCTTGGACTGGCATTCGACAGAAGAATGACACGGGGCCCACATATCAATAAAAAAAGAAAAACTTTAAACCTCAGACTACGACTGTTATACTCACTTCTCTCAAGACGCTCAAAATTAAGCTTAAAACAAAAACTAAACACTTAAAATTATCTACTTAAGCCCATATAGACCTACATTCACAAATTTACAGGACAGCCAAAACGACCCACATACGAAAACTACAAACTTTTCCATCCAAAACATTCAGGACCATAACTAAAGCTCCATGGTACGTCACAAACATTACATTACATAAAGACCTTCAAATGCCAACAGTTGACGATCACATAAGGACAAACTACAAGCGATTTCACAATAACATACATGGACATACTTATACAAAGTATGGCTACATTTACCATGCCCGAAAACGCATTTAGGAGGCTGAAAAGGAGCTGGATGAGGGATTTTCTCTCTTAAAAAGATGCTGGAATCAAGACAGGAAGGGATGCCGCTGGGCACACCTCTCGATCAAGCCACTACCTGTACTCTTATCGAAATTTTAAATAGTATTTACAGATGAGGGTTTCCTTTTTGATTTTTCTCACTAATTAGTTGATATGAGATGTAATATTTACGTTTTGGGTAGTCAAATAAAGAATTTACCATAATACTTACGTTCGTTTCATAAAATAATTTATTATAATAATTCCTAATGCTGTCAAGACGTAATTATTTGTTTGATCAATAAGAAGTGGGTTGTGAAAGTTAGAAAGTGGCAAATGAATTAATGTAAAGGACGCCATCCAAGGGAGACGGATTTCTTATTATCAATATTTGTAATATTATTCCATTTGTTTATTTATTATTATTTATTTTTAAAAAAAGATATATTTATTTTATATCTGTACATATAAAATAAAAAATCCAATAGTTTTATTAATTATTCATATCATTTATTATATTTTATTTAATTTACTTAATGTTTATAAAATATGTAATAAGGGAAAGTATTGAGATCATGAATAATTTTCAAAACAAATATTCATCAGAAATTTTATCGTCCCTGGAAGACTGATATCTCGTATTTAAGATTTATATATATATATATATATATATATATATATATATATATATATATATATATATATATATATATATATATATATATATATATATATGGCTGGAATGTTCGGATCCTTTAATTTTACAGAATTTTATTTTCTAAAATTGATTGGTCAGAAATGCTATATGACTGATTTTACACTTTACCCAATTTTCTAAAAAATAAATATTTTATAAAAGATTTTGACTAAACTGTTTCTGTTTTTATTTCCAGACTGAAACGACAAGAAACCGCTTGACGTTTCCGATTACTTCAGCACACACTAGACAAACGCTCTAAACTTCCAATTGATTACAAAAGACTCGTATACATGACTATTGTAAGGCCTATTTGGACTTACGGAGTTGAGCTATGGGGCTCCACTAAACCATCGAATTCTTCTCGTATCCAATCCTTACAATCCAAAATCCTTCTTAAAATCCTCAATACTCTCTACTTTGTTACAAATAAAACCATCCATAATGACCTTAATGTTTCTTTTGTTTCAGATCTATCCATAATAGACTTTACAATCATCCCAACCCTCTCGTTCCTAACCTTGCTTCCTCTTCAATTCCTGACAATCCCCTGCTATTTTTATTTTTTATATTTTGAAAACTGATCAAATACGTTATCATAAAAAAAAAAAAATACTCAAATCTATAATATTAAACGTTACCTGGTCCACAAAGTCAGAATTTCATCATTCCTGAAAAAAAAAAAGAAATTTGATTATTAAAATATAGCTATAAGTTATAATTATAAAGTTTTAATAATATTTTTGCACGACCTCCTATCTCTCTGTGACAGCATATAAATTTATATTTTGTATTTTTATCGTAGACAGTTTTAGTAGAAATTATAAGTGACTAAAACTGTTTTATTTTATTCTAGTCCAAACTGGGCGTCATTAACATGAGAGGGTGGAGGTATGAATAACCTGTACGACTTATTCTAAAAAGAGTAAAAAGGGAGAGAAAAAAAGAAAATATTTTCATTCTGTAGTTCTGCTACGAATTAAATTTCAACCAATCCAGGCCGGATTCTGATTCTCTATACATGGATTTTTCACGCAGATGTTCCCTTATAATAATTTTAATGGGGTTCATACTCTAAATTGGTGCTTAATAAATAAATATTCAAACGGTGACTTGGTATTTATTTGTAGTAAATTTTACAACAAAGTGCGTTACAGTGAAGTTGTCAATACACTAAAATAATAAAGAAATAAAAGATAAATAAAGACTTACTGAACAGTATTGATAATCTTAATTATTTTATTTGGTTGTAAAAAAGTTATTTAATCAGTAAATGAGTCGGTTCTATTACGACATCAAGTCAAATTGTGTTGATAATTGACACTAATCACTAGTTTACAATGAATCAGACTTTATTGCTTTTTATAAACTAAATTATTCATTCCCAATAGCATCAATTTATTAAGTATTGTTGTTATTAAAATAAAATAGCACTGTTACCAGACATAATCGGAGAATAACAGGCTTGTTATTATTATAATTATTATATAGAAAGACCGTCTATCTCTTACATAATGTATTCCTTTGAGGTTAGATGACTGAATAGGTGCTGTGTTTGATAAAAAAAAAAAAATCAAACAAAAAAGAAACTAATTTTCTTGAGGGAATTCAATGACACAGGACGCGAACAACTTTCTCTGTTGTACGGACTTCCTTCGAGTTAACACAATATACATGAATGTCTCGCATGCGTAATGATTTGTTAACGAAAACTTGTCAGTATTAAAAGTCTCCAGGGCATCGGGATTTAACCTCGTGATCTTCGGTTTATCAGGTTGTCGGGCAACTTGTCGGGCAATTTTAGTCGAGCAAAGTTAAGGACAAAAGCAGCCTTAACCCGACAATAAAAAAATGAATACTTGTCAGAAATTGTCCATTAGCTTCCCAATAATAACTAGTGAAAAGTCCTTTGTCTTTTTAAAAACATCTAAATTGGACTTTTAAGCAGTTAAACTACTTTAAGTTCACGTTTTCATAAAATAACGTTTCCTACGTGATTTGTTTTATAACCTCCCAACTGGTCTGAAGAGACTACACTTTCGGAAAACGTCCGCGCTTTATGTCTATATTAATTAAGTTGAGTTTACATTTTCTCTAATTGAGTAAAAACATTATTATGATGGTAAAATTAGGAATCGACCCAAAAATGTTTACATCTCTTTACTCAATTAGGGATGAATATCAACTTAATTTGTAACAAACCACAACATAATTAATATAGACTTAAAGCTCTTCAAGCAAGGAAATTTTTCTGAAAGTGTGGTACTTTTAGTCCAGTTGAGGGCTAACAAAATAAATCGCAAGATAAGAATACTTGATTTTATGAAAACCCGAACTTACCGTATTTTAACTGCTTAAAAGTCCCCTTTAAATGGTCTTAAAATAGACAATTTCCTGGAAATTAATGTACATTTAATCTAGTTTACTACGATGTAATTGGTTTGAACCTAAATTAAATATTTGTTTAGTTATTGCTTTTTATTCAACATAAAACGTGGTTGACTTAAAAATTACAAAATTTATATAATCTTGTTGTCAATAACTTTTAAAAATCATGAAAAGATAAAAACTTCGAATAATTATTATAATGATCATAAATGTTTAAAAAAAAAATTAATTAAACTTCTAAATGATGTGATCTGTTATGAACAACTTCAATTTCGTGTTTTGAAACAATTTTTGCTTAAATAGGAGATACTAATAGATATAATCTCATAAATATTTACGCAATCATTGATTTTATCAAAAATAGTATAGAGTCATTTTCATAGATATTTTAAAGTACTTTAATATTTTACTTTTTTTTAGATTTAAAAAGAATTACACATTTTAAATATCTTGGTTCCATAATTGAAATAGATGGTGCATGTGATGTGGAAATAAAAAGAAAAAAATGAGATGGCTAAAAGACCATATCAATGCTCAACTCGGTATTATGGAAGCGGAACATTATCCCCAAAACAAAAAAAAAGAAAAAGATCCACAATCGTATAGTACTGAGCATTATGGCAAATGGGTCAGAAACTTGGACCATAAAAAGCAAACTCAGAAAGAAACTTCTGGCCAACGAAATGCACTACTGGAGAGGAGAATATCCAGAACGGATAAAGTGAGAAAGACGAGCATCAGAGATGGAGGCTAAAGGAACCATTCTTCAATAGATAGAGAAAAAACGCCTGAAGTGGTATGGAAATTTGAAAAGAATGCCTGAAGGAAGACTAACCAAATAAGTCCAGTTATGGAAAACTAGGAAAAGAAGAAGACCAAGGAAGACCTGGGATAACGAAGTGGAGGAATCCATGACGGGTCATGGTCAACGGGATGAATGGACCTTAGATAGGATATTATGGAAAGAAGCAGTCCAAGGTTTAGGTTAAGGAAACCCACTATTAGTGAAAACTCCTGATTAAAAAAACAATATTGAACAATCTTTGCGAAAAACCTCATTGTTTTTGAGATAATCTCCAAAAAAAAAAAATCAGTTTTCTGTATTTTTGTCCCTCCTCTCTATTATGCCATGAAATATTTTAACATTAACCAATCTATTATTGGGAATTAAAACTTATCTGAGGCTCTAAATATGATAAGATTAGATTGTGTTGGTCGTTCGATCACTTCATCTACAGGTTCGATGTAATATCGTCAAGCCCAGGTCCAAATTATCTCCCCAGTCTGTGTAGGCTAAGCTGCCCGAAAAAAGACATAAAACCCCGAGGTTTTCCATCCACGAGATTTTCTACAAAGATTCAAGGTGGGGGCAAGGATGGTTTTGATTGGTTCTTAACTTTGGCGGGAGTAAAAATTATTTTAACTAACCATACTATAAAGGTAACCAGTTATTTAATCCGTTACTAGTTATCAGTTACTCTTAGAAAAGATCTTCTCCAGCTCTTGTTCTCTTGTTCTTAGGTACTTGATCACCACCTTGACACTGTCTTTGATGTCAGCAGATGTGTTTGGTGTCAGAATATTTTAGCTTTTTTTTCGGCAGCTCATAATAATTTTAAAAGAATATTTGCTATGTTCAATACATAGCAGACTGTTAACTAGTTTAGGAATGCCACGCGAGATTTCACTATTGACGGTGTCTTATCGACGTTCAAATTTAAATAATTGCTCGTAAGTAGTATTACTGTTTATATCTTCTTTTAGCCTTCGGATCGCCTCGAACATCTCAGTAGGATAAAAGGAAAGGTAAATTTGGAGATCGTCTGCATATAAATGGTGTTGTGAATGATGGATGGAATCGAGAGATCGTTGGCGTATTTAAACAATTGATTGATTCAACATTGATTCATATTGTATATGAGGCACTGTGGGATTGGAAATATATGTAAATAAAAAGATAAATGAGTTTCGAAATTCAACCCGAAAAGAACCCGAAGCGGATTTTCTTTGGTACTTTTTAGCAGTTATTATGGGGAGGATAATGAATAATATCTGACAATTTTACTGGGCTGTTTACATACGTGTTAGTCTGCCGACCACCCCATCCCTTAGAGAGCTATTATATGATTCAATTTATAGGATTATTGAATGATAACTTTAACCACATAATTTATTCTGAAATTATTTTGGTTTGACCAGTAATGTACCCCATTCGTGGACCAGGAAATTTCTGGAGGACACCGGAGCGATAACTAGAATAAATTCCTAGGATAGTATCCTTGAAGACTACGAGTATGATATTGTATGAATAGGTATTGCTTCATAATAACATAAGCTAGTGAACCTTGCATAAAATAATAATCAACCTAAAGCGTTTGAAATATTAAGTGTAGGCGCAGTATCTAGTCATTCAGTTATAGCGACATTTTTTTTTCTTTCTTTGATAAGTGCAATATGTTTTACTACTTATATAATATTGTAATACCATTTTCTAGTTGTGTAGAAAATTTCATTAGATACCAGTTAAGAAAATGTTATTAAAAATTTCGAATATTTCGAGTATAACTTCGTGAATAACTTCATCCCATGGTAAACTACAACTATTATATTTACGAAAAATCTTGGAATTGGGGTGTATTCAATCTGGAGATCGGCAAATTTTGTCTGTTTAATTTAGTACTAAAAAGTACCAGACTGAAACAACAAGTACTTCAGTACTTACTAGACAAACGCTCTAAACTTCCAATTAATTACAAAAAAAAACTCATATACATGACTAAAATAAGGCCTATTTGGATTTACTGAGTTGAGCTATGGGGCTCCACTAAACCATCGAATTCCTCTCTTATCCAGTCCTTACAATCCAAAATCCTTCGTAAAATCCTCAATGCTCCTTACTTTGTCACAAATATAACCATCCATAATGACCTTAATGTTTGAGGTCTGGCCCAATCTAGATACTTATCCTTCCATAATAAACTTCAGAATCATCCCAACACTCTCGTTTCTAACCTTACTTCCTCTTCAATTCCTGATAACCTTCCGAGGCGTCTGAAAATAAGATGACCCGTGATCTCTTAATGTAGACATATTATTAGAGTGCTACCATTGGGGAATTTCTCAACAAGTGTTTCACGTCATTATATCCATATGTTCAAATTTACTAAATTTATTTCTTTATTTTGTCTATTTAATTAGGTACTAAAAACTCAGGGGGGCGGGGTGGCCGAATAGGCTAAAGCGTGTGCACAGCACCGCGAGTTGCCTGGCAACCGGATTACAG